ATTCAACAACCTAGCTCAGAGAACACAATACAACCAAGATGGATCATGTTTATATTACTGATTTACAAACGAACAAAACTTCACTCCAAAACTAGTTACACTTCTTAGCAATTTTAGAGTACATAAAAGGCCAGCCTTATTTTATTCGTAACCTTGATAATGATCGTGACCGGCTATTTGCTATTCGAAATGAGCCATGGCTTACTGATCTACACACTTGATTTCCAACTAGTGGGGCAGGGGTTCGGACCCAGTTAAAGTTACGAAAGGCTCAGTCAGTGTCATGTAAAACTCAGCCAACAGATGTGATAGATTGTTTAATGTAGGAGTATGCAAGTCGCTGCCAAGTGCAACTCGATTTTCGATCATTTATACATACATATAGCAATTAGCATTACAAAAAATATAATGATTTACATTGGCTGGTCACGGAAGAGAGGCCAATTTCATGCTATCTAGTCCTGTGTGTTGATTGAATTCTATCGGTCGCTCTCCCATGATCAATCAATTCATGTAACTTAGTCCTACAGGAGGTCAGTAGCGACCCGAATAGCGTATTAAGAGCAAATCGAAATAGAAGCAGAAGAGGAAATGAAATACATTATGTAAATGACTGTTTTAGTGGGAAGTGTGCAATATTTCACCACTACTGTACAAGGTACCAATAATAAACATTCTTTCCTGTATCTCAGTATTCTCGTTCCCTACAATTGGTGTCACTGCTTCTGGGCGCGATGAAGATTCTCAGCCCTACAGTGTTCGAGAATGGAGACATGAAGGTCTTCCTCAGGGACTTCGAGTCGGTCGCAGAGCTCGTGGGTATTCGGGATCCAGGAACGAAAGTCGTGGTGCTTGATACGTTGCTGAGGGATCGAGCGAAAGTGGTACATGGTGGCGTAGAACGCGTAGATGGGAAGGAAACTTGGAAGAGAATGGCTGAACGACCAGAGGTGGAGTTTGACAGCCCAACCGAAAGGGAGTTGGCGACACAGCAGTTCCGGAGCACAAAACTTGAAATAGACGAAGATCCCCTGGTATTGGCTGTGAACTTGACAAAACCACTTCGATGAGCACTTTCTATGAGAACTTCCAGGCACAGTTGCTGGCTGCACAAGTCATTGAAAGTGTCCCGAATGCCATCGTCCAGCAGCTACGACTAGGGAACGCAACTCAACCCGTGGATATTAGTGAGATGACCGAGGTCACCAAGCAGCTGATGGGTACAGTAGTAGCTACAGTGGAGTCACCAGAGGTAAATAACTGGAAAAAACAAATCGATAACCTTCAGAAGGAGGTGGCTGCACTTCGAATGAATATCACAAGACAGAGTAAATGCTTTGCATGCGGAAAACTGGGACACTGGCTAAGAAACTGTCCGGAAAGGCGAAAAAGAAACGTTTTTGAACGATTAATATTGGTGTAAAACTCGGGCACTGTGGTAGAATTTAATTCCATATTACATTTGTTTATTTGATTTATAACAGTGATATAGTACAATTTACTTGATGACGTTTCGAGCATAAATTATTGCTCATAATCAATCAATGTCAATCACATCGATATGACAATGAGCAATAATTTACGCTCGAAACGTCATCAATTAAATAATACTACATCACTATGTGTTACAAATCTTTTTGAACGATATAATATGACTTCTGTTTTTCCGACCAGACTAGATGTCGTAGGAGAGATGCATATACAGGTGCTGTGTATGCTAGAATGCGAATAAATGATCGAGAGATCGTGTGTCTAATAGGTACGGGGATGGCAGTCTCGCTGATAGATAAGAGTCAGTCTCAGAACATAAGACCATGTGCGCTAACGGTCCGTGCGGTTGGGGGACATGCATTAGAAATCGCAGGCTTATTAGATTGCGTTGTCGAGATCGGAAGTCGAAAAATTAAATTTTCATTCACTGTCACCACACGTCTATAACGGACAATCCTAGGTCCTGACTTCGTGAGAGAAGTGGGTGCAGTTATTAACACGACAGCATGAAAAGTGGCAACAAAGTAAGGGTCGTTCACCATACTAGAAAACAGTGAGGTAGAAGAGGTTGAGGTATCAAAAGCAACACATTTGGAAGTGCCAAACATCATGAAGTTGGTTAAGAAATACGACAGATTGTTCATGGGAGATGGAGATCCCTACGGATACTGTGACAAGGTTCAGCATGAAATCCCAACGACAAGTCAACCAATGATAACACTTAGAACACGGCGAATACCATGTTACTTGGAAGAAGTTAGGCGCCAGGTTCAGCAAATGCTAATTGAAGGGATTACTGAAGACGCTGATAGCATATACAGTTCGCCAGTGCCTTTAGCAAGAAAGTCCAATGGGAAATATAGATTCAGCGTTGATTTCCAAAAGTTAAATACCATAAGGCAACTGAAGCCCTGTGCTATACAGACGCTAGCAGGAACACTTGATCGTCTGCAGAATGCAAAGCTATTCATAGTTCCAGACCTCTGCTCAGGCTACTGGCAGCTACCAATAAAAAAAAACGATAAAGAGAAAACATCATTTATTGTGGACAAGAAGTAATACCAATTCAGACGAATGCCATTTGGTCTTGCAGGCGCACCATTTACATTCAAACGGTTGATGATGTTGTCGCTGAAGAATTTAGAGAACGTTGAGGTATATTGTGACGACCAGATCAAACTACGTTTTCCTCCCTCATTTCTACTCAGACAATTTCAATTCCAATTTATGTGGAGAGATTCTGCTATGAGACGACCTTCATAATTTCTCAAACCTCCCTCAATAATTTCGATATTGTTAAAATTGACCTTGTGATGTGAAATTATAGCATATAGAGCTATGGCTGAAGTGTTCTCAAGTTTTTTCAGTTCCACTGGATTCTTAGGGGGTCGAAAGGAAGCTCTGCAATCTTCATTTTTCCTAATTTTGATTTCACCGGAAGTTTTTCCTATGTATCGCAATCGGAGCATTTTATTTTATAAACACAATTAGCTTGTGAATCTCGAGGAATCTCATCCTTTAAATGAGGTTTTTATCAAAAGGACAAAAATCAGTAACATTGGTTTGCATGAATATACCTCTTCTTGAACACTTCCACGTTTCAGAGCAGTCCATGATGGATCTGGATTGTAGGTAATTGTTGATGCACTTCCAAAATCACACAATTTGATGATAAAATGATCAGTAAGCAATAAATTCTCAATTTTCAAGTCTCGATGTATCACAGGTGGGCACTGACTATGCATATGTTGAACAGCACGACAACATTGGTAGAAAATCTGTAATATAACATTGGTTGATAATGGATTTTCACATCGTGGTGTCGGTAAATATTCATTTAATTGTCCACCTATATATTAAAAGTTAATCAATAAAACAAAGAATAATCCACATTTTCTGACACTTCTGTGTGACTGTTATACAGTTAAAGAACAGTTTTTCAACAATAGCGTTAATATCCTTTGACTAGTTTTGATATAACATCGGCGTCAAGAAACCAGGCAGGGAAGGTATATAAAACTAAAATCTGAAAATATAATATGGTTAATTGAACTGGCTTAAGTAGTGTTGTCAACAGATAGACAGATTGGGCTATGGATCAAAATTTGTTAAACAAAATGTGATAGCTTTAGAAAGGTTAGTGCTAAGCTTAAAACCTCACGATTATAGGTAAGTAAGTAGGAACAGGAATTTCCTATCAACTGTTATCAATTTTATTGCGGCAATCAACAAATAACGATAATCATATCGGTAACTTCTCTTGTATTGATAATTTTTATAGGGACGATTGGAAATTGATCGACATACTGAACAAAATTATGAACACTAAACCGCGCCGTATTCAGTGGGTTGTGTGATACACTATGAAGAATATTTTCTCTGACAAAAACTACAGCACACATAAGATTTGTACAACCTGACTAAGCTTAATCAACACATTAGTGGGATAGAAAGCGTGAAATGAAAGGCTTACAAAATCGATACGACACACTAAAATTACATTCTAACTGAAACACTTTTTCTGAAGTAGCAATACGTTTTCATCAGAGGTGACAACTTATTTCTTCCATTTCTATTGTCTGATTTGGACTGTACTACATTACAGTATGATAGACAGATAGATTCACTGACTAGCTGATTGATCAATAGGAAAACAAGGATAACCTGTAAAGCATCAATTTGAATAGTGATATTTTGCAACATAAAAGCAGGAAACAAATGGAAAGATATTACCATCGACAAAAGGATATGTAATGAGCAGGTACAACTAAAAGTCCACAAAATTGATGATAAAGGCTTTACTTCATCTGTGCCATCAAAGTGGATTTCGAACCACATGACAAAAGATTCCTAACTGCCGACTAATAATAATCTTAGGGACAACTACGCCAGATAAACTGAATTTCCCAAGGCACAGTTAGATAAATGACCTCAGAAATGAGTGACACTGCTTGGTCCAGATAAACTTAGCCATTTTCTAAACGACTGCTTTAGGTAGCACGGAAACATAATGAACAGCATCAGTGATTTTCGGCATGTGCAAAGGTTTTCTCGACACCTTAGACGGTGTATTTTCTCAACCCTCACCATTTCTGAGCATAACCAGGAGCCATTCGCCTTGTTGGAAATCAGCAAATAGGCATGCTTTAGAATAAGGTGAAAGAATTTCATTAGATTTCAAAGATAACAGCCAACAACATCATGTTCAATTGGAACTTATAAAACAACACCACTTGAAACACTAAAATGGGTTGGATACAATCAAAAACAGATTTGAAAACAATTTGTTTTGCTGATTTTCACTGCACGTGAAAGATGAATCTTTCAGTCTCCACTTGTTTGAAATAACCACAACTGCGACAGATGCATTCTTCACATGAATTAAGAATTAGCAAACTAGTCTTAATCTGTGTTCAGTCAGACAGCTGCAACCTTAACATGGTGGTCTCGCCTAATGCATAAAAGAACATAATTTGAACGCTGTGGCAGGGTATAATCGCTTACTTTTCCCAAAGCCACACATTACCGACGCCGTTTACACAAAAATGTATTCCCCATAACCAGACACGGGGTTAAGTCAATAGGAGTTTCTTTCGTCAGTGATCAGCATTTCATACCAATACTCCTTTCAATCATGGCATAGGATTTAGAAAAACCTAACTCTAACTCTAGACTATTCCGACCTAGTATGCGGTTTTCCGAGGCCCACGATACCCACTTTCCTCAGCCTACATTAACGCAATAAAATCTCAAATAAACAATCATGAAAAAGGTTATATGTAACGCCTGGAACAAATGTCCCATGAGCTCTGCATTTGCTTAAAACAAAACCATTATCGCACTTTCAGGTGCCTCAAGAAAAAAACTTTCATGCTAACAGCAGCACACAAAGTCCAACTGAACATAATCTACATCCCTCATCTTTTTCTCTTCCCTTCCTAATATCAATATTAAGCCTTTTATAACTTCTGAAACCTCCACCCTAAAACCATGCTAAAGTCAGTGAAACACTATTTCCAGCATCCTAACACAACGCTGCTGACTTTACAATGAACCTTTCAATATCCAAACTTTATGCTAAGTCGGGCAACAGGCATTTCTTGCTAAAACCATAGAATCTCGAGCCATAGATGTATGCTGTGTTTCTCAAACATACATACCAGGACGGAAGTATGTTTATTAACCTGATCTTATCTGGCGAGTGCAATGAACCTGCAAAATCCATGCGCTTTCACCTTAGTTGCTTCAAGAAAGACACAGCACTAAACGTCCATGTGCCACACTGCAACAAAAGAACATTGAGTCTGTGCCAAAGGAGGAGGTATGTGAGCATTTGTCTAACCAAGATAACAACCCTCATCTAAACCAAAGTTGGCGTAACATTCAATCTGATGAAGGAACAGTTAGTAAACTGAATCCAATGTTAGCGCGAGCCAGTGGATTTCCTCAGCTTCATTCAAGCTAATCGATTGGAGAAAACTTATTTCCACTGACTTCGTTCATAGTGAGGACAGAAAGCGACTCGGATGTAAATTGACAAGAGGTGTATGTGGTGGGTGGTGGAGGTGAAAACGAAAGTGTTGGAGAAAGCATCAGCATCGTGCAACGCTCGATAATTATTTGAGCTTAATAGAGAGGACTATTACAAAGATGATGGTTAGTGAGACCATCACTGAACAGGACTGGTTATTGATAAGCTTTCAGGACACGTATCTGTAGTGTTGGATGTAAGACTTTGAAGAACAGTTCAATCAGTGCACTACCACACCTTATTTGCAAACATCCAGGTCGGGGCTGAATGGAATATAGATATCAGTCCTCTAACTCTCAGTGATGTTGAGAAGGCTATTTCAAACCTAAAATGATGCACAGCTCTATGACCTGACGATTTTATACCAAAAAATTCTGGTAATACAGATAGAAAATTACTGAAGAGAGTAAAACATCACAAACATACCCACCAGCAACAGACAAACGTCATAACTCTTGACCTAAAAAGGGGATTCAAACTATTGTGGCGGTGTTTAATTGTGAAGGTACAACCGAACAAGCATATTATGATAATCACGGCGCCAGTGAAACACACATGGCGTGAAGTCAACTCAAGTAAAAGCAATAACACATCTTACAAAGCATGTCAACTGTCACCATTCATATTCATAGACGTGGAAGCAAGATGGTAAATACTCCGTTGAACATCTTTTTGAAACAGCTGCAATAGTAACCTATTTCTGCTTTCGCTTTCATTCTTTTTAACAGTATGACGGGCTGCTGACTTTAATTCTTAGCCAATCCCATTGCCGTCTCAAGCCACCGAGCTGTGTTGTCCTTAGGACCCCATCGGGAGAGTCGTGACGTACCGACAGACGCCAACGCGCCAAAGCTACCTGTCATTCCACACGGTGAGTCACACTTACCATCCGTCCGCTTCTTTCAACCATTCACAAGACAAGCGAACAGTGAGTAATGTGGGCGGTGTTAGAACAACCCATGTAACATACATCCAAGCCACAGAAACCGACGTGAATCTTATAAATGGAAAATCTAATACACCAAATCTATCCAAGTAACATCTAAATCAGCTACAAATTTGCAGGAAAATAAAAACTTAGCCCTGACAAAGACGCTCGGATACTGGTTCTGAATAAATCGAACTATTCAGATAAGCTACCTTTTATTCTCTCAGATGGAAACAAGTTTCAAAAAAGACAATTCAGAAAGACTCTGCTGAAGAAACAAACCTTCAGTTTTCGAAGACATTAAAGACAATGGAAGGTGAAACCCTAATTAGAAATGAACTCGAAGAACAACGTCAAACATCATGTTCTTCGATCGCTTCACTATATGATCTAATCACAGTATACTAAGAAAGTTTGGCCCTTCGTCTCACAGTAGACATGACTAATTCTCATTACCATCCAATCTCAAAATCGCTAGTCCAGACGTGTGAACTAGTGAAACACTCTCAGTGACGCATTTCACTTTGTTGATTTCATCATCACAATCACGAAGATCAACATAAGAATAGGCATTAGTGCGTAACAGTCAAAGTTGCCAAATCTCATATCACTACATTAAGTAATAAGGCAATAAAATAAATCATGAAGGAAGAAAGGAAGAAAAATCGGTCACAAGAAGCAGAAAGTATCAGAAGAGGCGAGCGGGAAATGGAAAAATTGTGGGATTCAGTATAGCGGTTAAGATGAGGATAATGTGTGTATACATCTGCACCATTGATATCGGTTCTCAGCCATATCACCTAGAGTCCCCAACAACTGGTCTCTCTTGCCCCACGGACCTCCAACCGGCTAGTCCGTAGTATACCCCCACATGGCTCAAACCAACGGGCAAAGACTTCATCTGCTGGTGTCATGTTTTAGCCTAGCTCCCCTAATCCTCCCCGAGTTGTTTACCAGCCTGAACCTACTTTGGCCAACATCGTACGATGAGGCAGACGGTGGTTAGGCATACGCAACACATGTCCCAGACACCTCAGTCGATGAAGATCCACAACCGTACCAACTGGCTTACCTCTCCTCTCTAAATCTCTACGCCTGATTTATGTGTTATTCACGTGGTGACACCACGAAACACGATCTATACCATCAAGACAACGATGGCCAAACACCTGAAGTCTTCTCACGTCTTCCACCTTCAATGGCCATGTTTCACAGCCATTACAGTAGAACAGAGAGAATTGCACTATAGTACACTCGACCCTTAACAGATAGGCGGATATCGCGGCGGTAACAGAGATGGTGTGAGTTGCCAGCTGAGCCTTTTGTGTCCGTGCAAAGATTTCGGTGGCCACTTAGCTACCCAGGCTGATTCGACTTCCCACGTAAGTGA